GTTTGCCTTGACTAGTGGGCTATATTAGTCATGCCCCCGCTTCCGCTCCCAGGGTAAAAAAAGGCTTAGCTAGGACAGTGTTGTATATTATAGTATGCCCCCTTCGCCGTTCATTATAAAAAAGGGGATAGTACAACTACTGGTATTATTAGTTATAGGTCCCCCCTCCTGTCCCCCCTCCCCAGATTAAAGGGCTGCCCGGGTGCTGTAGCTAGACTAGTGGGTTCAGGGGGTCGCAGTGCAGCTTATATTAGCATATCCCCCGCCCTTTCTTTTCTCCAGGTAATAAGGGGTTAGCCTAGACTAGTGTATCATAGTATTGCCCCCCTTCTCCAGGTAAAAAGCGTTGGTACGAGCTACTGGTAGATTAGTATGCCCCTCCTCCATCTAAAAGTGGTTAGCTACGCTCATGGCTATATTAGAAGCCACCCTAAGAAGTCCTGCTTCTGCCGTTACGATTCATCTCTCGTCGTTCGGCCTCGGATGTTGGTATGCCCCTGTTCAGTTTACGTTATGTATTGATTTATTGTTATTATACATATTACGACGACCGTCCCGGTTCCGCAGTTTGGTGCGATCCGCCGTAACGCGCCGAAAATCGTTTCCTTTCACCGGCGGGGGCGGCAGCGTCGGCGGACGATGGAACGGCGAGAGAATCTGTGAGCTTGAGAACGGCCTGATTGATGCGTCACGGGGAACAAGTCAATACAATTAGAGCGTAAAACGAACCGCGGATGCAACGGGCGCATCATCGACACACATCCGCAAGAATCATGTCGATGAAGGTCACCGACGGAGGTCACCAACAAAGGTCCACAGACGAAGGGGCTCTGCGATGCTTCCGAACATTCCAGCCGAGGGCAGCTGGAACGCACAAGTCTGTGTGTGTGACGGCTCGCATTTATTTCCACGACTATCGCATGAGATTCCTTCATCACCAGGATTGTATGTAAACGGTCGTCGAATCTCACGCAGACGATAATTTGGAGTCGACTGCAGGTCGAGGATCGATCGACGCATTTCTTCACTATTGATCGCACATTTTCTTTGGACTGTGAAGAACACATCTTTTCGTATATTCTATTATGAATTTTTGTTCGCTTCAACTTCTTAGAACGCATCAAATCCTTTTGTGTTTAGATTTTGCTGCCGCAGCTTTCCAAGCAGGGTCCGCCGCATTTTGGTTCGCGGCGTTATTCCCTATTACAAGAGGTCGGAGCGGCAAAAGCCTGTGCATACCTTCAAATCGTTACTGCTGTCGGCGCCCACCTATCTGTGGCCTGTGGTTTCCTCAACCGCGACGCTTTTATCATTTTTACATCGGGCCGCTGTGCCAGCGATTCTCACCTGGCACATCACCGTATTGTTACGCGGAAGTTTTTATTATTTCTCACTTTGTAAATGGTATTTTTCCTTATTTCTTTGCAAGCTTGATATTCTCTCGTCTATGTGATTTTACACAGTGTAGGGTTACTGAATGTGTTTTCCATTTACCACGCTACGTCCTTTCCTAACATTTATATATTCCGTGTCAACGCACAAAGATGTCTGGGATTATTTTGCGTGTTTTCTTATTCTTGTTTTGAGCGAGTCCAGTGTAAAATGTGCATGACTGGAAACAATCTCAATTCTCACTAATATGCACTGCAGAGAAAAAAGGAAAAGAAACCGCATCGAAAGTTTGAAACTTCATTTGGAGCGGAGAAAAATTTATCGCAAGCATTTTTCTCATTCTTTAGGTGTTTACCCCATTCGCTTGTTGCTCACACATCTCTGCCAATATCTTAATCAGTTTCTTGCTTGATTAATACTATTTCAAACAGTTTTACATATACTTTATATATGAAGATTATTAATTTAATACCTAACCAATCGGATTTAATTTCCCTTTTCATTTTAACTTTTTTTTTTTTTTTTTTTTTTTTTTTTTTACATAAGATAATCAGTATCGTCTCGAGTTGGTCCAATCACAAGTTATTATTCTGTGTTCAAGAAACTCGGCCACGAGCATAAAATCCAATTTTATTCTTATAGTATGTCAGAGGAAACTTGACAAATTAAGACATGAAAAAAATTTTTTTTTTTTCGTTTACGTCGCTGTGAGAACGGATAATATTCCCAAACTTCTGTTCAAACATGTCTTATGTCCCGCTTCACTCGCGAAATGTGAATCGATGCCGACGATTATCTACGGTGTTGACTTTATTGTAATATATCGCTGTCGCACACTCCCGTGAAGGTGTAAGTAAAAATCTTATTTGGTCGCCGCCATGTTACATTGACATCGAATTTATATTTTTTTTTCCTTTCTGTTCAATATTTAGTCTTCTGGTTTATAGGTTGCACTAGTGAGTAAAAGGCCCACGCAGCGACACCGACGACCGGAACGACAAACGACTTTTCAGAAAATAAAAAACTATTGTCCTATGAGCCATTGCCAACATCACACGCGACAACGACCGCACAACCTCGACGACAAAAAAATATTTAGGAAGTTTCTAATTCATCGCGACACTTTTAACAAATAGCCAATCGCAGCTGTTTCCATCGGCACGTGACATTCGGATTATGTCATAAATAACCAATAATAGCTAGCCAAACGTATGACTGGTCTCCGCGCGGCTAAAAACTCTGCGCCGCCCAATAAATCCCTGAATAGCGAACGAGTAACAGCACGTAGCGTCACAGCTTGAAAGGTCGATGATCGAATCCATCCTTTCTTTAATTATTTTCCTGTTTCTGTTATTTTTCTGAGTCTTTATCCCATTTAACAATGTTTATCATGATATAGCAAATATTTACTGTGATTTATTACAACACACATTTAATAAACAAGCGATAATCTTACAACATTAAACATTTAATGTTTTTAATTTTTTTAAATAGGGTTAGGCATCACATGCCACGCATAAAACATGAGTTTTGAGGCACGGTGATTTGTATCAACCATGGCACAGCGCTCCATTAGACGAGCCCTATATTCTTGATTAACCATAGAGTATATATTAGACCCCATTTAGATATATTGTATATTAATACACAACTCTATGTGATTAACCCACATACTTCTGTGGCACTTCTCTGCCTACATATAACTGTTATATGTAGCTCCTTGGATTAACCTAGGAAAAAAATTTACGCCTACGGTACATGCCCATCGATGAGGTGAAAAGTTGGGAACCAGTACACTTGTTATAGCATGGCGGCGCCCATGAGCAAGCGTGTGTTCCCGTGGGTCTCGAGGTGATTTCTGTTTATTTTGTAATAATAGGAGTATGTTTATAAGCTCGATCGAATAAAACCTTAATAATATTTGACGCTTGATGCATATGTAGTTCGCAAGTAATGCAAACCATTTCATAAGGCTAACAGTAGCACTAAAAGTCGGTTTTAACTAACCGGCATTCATACGACACGTCTACTCTAACCCGACCAGGCTGTGTGACTAACGTCAATGCACCCTAGCAATACCGTGGGGTACAATAGGTACTCTACAATAGGTAGGTGGGGTACAATAGGTATTCTAACCCTAGCAATACCGTTTCTTGGAGCTATTCTACTCTAGCTAACCCGACCAGGCAGCAGGCTGTGTGACGCTCATAGGATATCAGGTGTCTATCATTATCAATAGACTCCTGATAGGATCTATGTCCCCCAGGGTACTGCCGGAACGTACCCTTGGTACGGGGAAACTAGGGGGTGTCCGGGGGCCTGGTCGAATCACTGGCAGCAAGAACAATTAAGTTCGCACCTGCAGCTACAACACACACGCATCTATTGTATGTATTGACTATATTACAACAACATTATATATAGTTACCGGTACTAAGTTAGTGCATCACGTGATAAATCGTTGAAATTCCATTGGATAACGTCGCAGGTACTATGAAACATCAGGCGGGCACTATTGCTTGCGCGACGCATTGTTATTCATGTTATTGCATTTATGCATTGTTATTTGCATAATTGTTCGAATTAAATTTCCCCTACCTGCATGTAGCAGTTTTCCTGAGTCATCGACAGGTGGCGAGACCAGCGTTGTTATCAGTCAGACGACAACAACATGGAGCGCTCCAGATTTTTTTATTCACTTCATATTTTCCGAGTAGATTGCAAAGTCATGTGATGCACTAAAAACATTAATGCCTGTTGTTGGGGGCACTATGCTCTCATAGTGTTGCTTTGAGAAGGAATAGTGCCCTCCCTACTGCTCGGGCACTATACCTTCCCTCAGCAACACTATGAGAGCATATAGTGCCTCCAACAACAGGCATTAATATATAATTATATATAACTACTATAACAACTATATAGCTACTATAACAACTATAACTACTATAACAACTATATATAATGTTGTTATATATAGTCAATAGATGCGTGTGTGCTGTAGCTGCAGGTGCGGACTTGTTCTTGCTGCCAGTGGGTCGAATGGGAATTCTTGCTGAGGTGGCCCCTCAATTGCCAGTAGCAGCAGCGCCTCCAAAGCTGACTCACTCAGCCTGTTCCTCATGTAGCCATTCCCATTAAAAAAAATTTTTTTTTTTAATTGGGGAGGAAATAATTTAAACGTGGCGCAACGATTGAAACGGGGGGGGGGAGTTTTCCCAAACGGGGCGGGCGCGCCCGGTTTGCGCAACGTAGGGAGAAGCCTGGATACGATACGATTCTGCATTCAAATGAATTCATATGCATATGTACGTTAAGATGTGTACATTGCATGACTTGGTCCACACAGGGAAGAATGGGAGGAGGTTTATTATGGTCTCTACACTGACTACGGCTCCGACGCATCAAGCAGCAGTGCTGTGGCGAAACAATGGGCGATTGAGAGAACTCAGCTGTGGCGAAGCAGGTAAGTCACTAACGCTTTAGGTCAATTAAGTCACTAACGCTTAACTTAGTGACTAACTTAGTATAGCAGTTAAACACTTAAAACGGAGGCCATTGATTATATTTAGCGTAGCATTATTACAGGCAACGTTACACGCACGAGGTTATAAAGCAAAGTCTGAGGTGCAAGGGCGGGTCAACATTTGTTTAATTTCGAGCCTCGTCCGCGCATAGTTTTTTGTATAAAATTTACTATATAACGAAGTGGCAAATATAAAATAATAAATAATATTTAACTATACCAGCTGAATTAATGATCATCATTCTTACACCTTATCTCTACTCCCAGCTAACACATCATTAACATCCAGGGTGCTAAAGTTGGGTTGAACTGCCTGCCAGAGCACCAGCCAAGTATATATATATATATATAGGGTATACGTGCGTGCGTGCATGTGTGTGTGTGCGTGCATGTGTGCGTGCGTGCGTTTATATGTGTGTGCGAGTACGTGTGTGCATGTGCACGCGTGATGTGTGTGTGAATTGGTTTGCCGTGGCAATTCGTGCGACGAGGTCGCGGCGGTGATTTGCGTGATGAGGGTTGCCGTAGTGATTAGCTCGACCGTACGACTTTGCACAGGAGGATTTTTGCACCAGGGAGAAATACACATTTTACATACCAGGGTATTTGCTTATTTATCATATGTCATGTGTGTGTTTTTTTCTGTTTAGCCTTTAGGGTTAGGGTTAGGTTAAGATTAGGGTTAGGGTTATGGTTCACAATGCGTATACATGTGTACACATGTGTATTATGGACTCGAGCGATCCTGAAGTTGCGCCCTACTACCGTTCGGCTATTTCCGGAAAAATGTGAATTTCTCCCCGGTACACGATTTGCGCAGGAGTGGCAACCGGTTCCCGCCGGGCGTGGAGACTACGGTGTGCCTCGCCCAGGCCTTGCTGCTGCTGCTGGAGGAGGAACGTGAGCGGAGCAAGACGAGGGAGAGGTGCGACGAAGTGCGCCTGCTCCTCTCCATGGCCATTGTCAGGTATCGCCATCTAGTGGCCCCTTATCAGATTATACTGCTATATATATATATCTATATATATATATATTGTTAATATATATACGTGTGTGTATGTGTATGTGCATGCATATATATTTGCATGTACATAAACACATACATACACGTATTCACACATACATACACCTGTACACACATATATACACGCTTACACATATACATACACATATACACACATACATACACGTATATATATATATATTAACAATTGATCGGATGGTCCTTGTTTTTACTCATTATTATCCCAAATACTATCTTATATGTAGCAATTAAACTCATGGGAATACACAACCATATTAAAGAGATAAATGTTGTAGCTTTGACATGCTGGGGTGCTCTTACAGTACCACAGTACGGGCGTGACTACACGATGAATCGGCTTCTAACCCTGCTTTGTTTCCTTTCAAGGTTCGTCAACTTTGTAGCCGATGTGGGTCAGAAGAACACGTTTCGTGCCCAGCCGGTGCACGTGTTGGCCGGCATGGTAAGAGCAGTCTAGTCTATAGTCCAGTGGTTCCTAAAATCAGATAGAGTTAAATCGATTAATTGCGTTTGATTTGATTTTTTCTATGGAATCTGATCGATTGATTGCGTTTGATTCGATTCGATTTGATTTTTATAATTAAAAAAAAATATTTTAATTATTTTTTCACGTTTTATTATATTCGTTTTTTTTTTTTTTGGCTTGACGCAGAAGGGTGTGCCGGAGTGGGTGGTGGACCTGCGTCACACGGCGACGCACGCGACACTACCCTCCCTCAGCATCCTCGTGCTGGGCGCAGAGTTCGCTCTCACGTGGCTTCAGGTAGGAAGCGGCACTGCGATCGAGTGGCGATCGAGTGGCTCCACCTGGGCGCGAACGTCCACGCGTAGTCGTCGCCCTCATCACTTGCCTGGCCTTTTTTTCTGAACGTAGAATTACCTGATGAACTGCAAGGCGGCACCTTTCTCGACCTTCTGAGACAATTTCAATTTCCCCTGTAAAACGAGCAAGTTGCATAGACATACATATGTATATATAATATATATATATATATATGTGACGTTTGAGCCAGTCACGGCCTCAAAGTGCCACAGGTTCGATCTTGGATTCACACGCAGACGCGAGCAGGTACCGAAGACAACAATACCAAAATCGATGCGTTCAGAGAGCCATTTGAAACAAAAGGCAGCTACTAATGCTCGGCGATGCGGTGTGACTCGCTGGGAGATTGGACATCGACGCAACACTCGGCGAGATAACCTTTGACCGGCATACAGCTGTATGCACCTGTATGTACCATGCACGCACGCCAACCGCAATCAGCAGCAATCTCCCAGCGAGCCACACCGCATCGCCGAGCGTTAGTAGCTGCCTTTTGTTTCAAATTAGGCTCTGAACGCATCAAGTTTGCTGCCAACAGAATGGAAAATCGTGTCGTACGTTTTAGTCTGTATCTCCGGATTGCGGGTGTATACGAGGAAACGATTTCGCACGATGCTAGGCGAATGTACTGTGTACGATTTGAGCTCAAGTTGGATGAGTAAATGACGAATTTCCCTTGTTTATTGAAGTCACACTCCTTCCCTATTGTCTACTCCTGATATACATATAGCCCTACATATGTTATACATATAATCAAGAGTACATAATAGGAGAAGAGTATGACACCGTTTTAACATCGTTTTGCATAGTTTTCAATTTGTAAATATTCTATCAATATGTGAATAATTATATTCAAACTTTACCTTATTTTCGTCTATGAGTCTCCCTTAATCATATGACACCACCAATTTACCTAAAAATCGTATGTGTTCTTCAAAAAAGTTCTTTGAATACGACACGGTTTCAAACAGTTTCCACGAAGTTTCCACGAATGGCAGCATGTGTTAGGCGAAAGTTTCGTATGGGATTAGTGTTCTATTGTCTCTATCTTAATTGTATCTTGATTACAACCTGGTGCTGCCGCCGCATATCAACTTTGGTGGAACCTTCGCCTAACACATGCTGCCATTCGTGGAAACTGTTTGAAACCATGTCGTATTCAAAGAACTTTTTTGAAGAACACATATGATTTTCGGGTAAATTGGTGGTGTCATATGATTAAGGGAGAATCATAGACGAAAATAAGGTAAAGTTTGAATATATTTATTCACATATTGATAGAATATTTACAAGTTGAAAACTATGCAAAACGCTGTTAAAACCGGGTCATACTCTTCTCTATTATGTACTCTTGATATACATAGCCCTACATATGTTATACATATAATATAGCCCTACATGTGTTATACATAATCCCTGTGTTTCCAGAATCAGTACTGGGAAGTGGAGAGAGCGCGTCTCTCTCCCTCGCCGATCAATAGCCAAACCTCAGCGGGGGAGGCGTGTGTGATAAAGAAGGGGAAGAAGGAGGAGGAGGAGGAGGAAGGGGAGGAGGAGAGGGAGGAGCGCATACGATCGCTGCTGGGTGACTACCAACAGCTGCAGTTTGAGGCAAGTATGGTCTCCACGCACGCACGCACGCACGCACGCACGCACGCACGCACGCATGCACACAAACCTACTCTTGATCATAATATATAGTACATACAAGTATATATATATATATATATAGATATATATGCAGTCCACCTACGCACGCATGCATGCACGCATGCACACACGCACGCATGCACCCACGCATGCACACACGCACGCACGCACACAGACCTACTCTTGATCATATATA